CCTTTTTTCGACATTTTATTGCTTCCAAGTTTTCTGTAACAGTTTTTTTGTAACTTTTTTTATCTCTTTTTAGTCTTTTTTTGTGCATTTTGTTGCCTTTTTCTTTCCCGTCGTCTCTTTTGTTGCTGTTCTCCATTTTTATTGTCATTTTTTGTAGCTTCTTTCTTTTTTTTGTACTTTTGAGTGACGTTTCTTTCGCCTTTTTTCATCGTCTTTTTTTTTTTTTTTTTAAGTAACGTTTTTGGCATATTTTGTTTGTGACTTTTGTCTGCCTATTTTTCTGATTTTTTTTTGTCTTGTTTTTTATCGCTTTTTGGCAGTTTTTATAGCAGTTTTGTTCCGCTTTTCGACACTTCTTGTTGCTTACATTCTAATGGCAGTTTTTTTGTCCATTTCTTTTACGGAGTGACTATTCGTACACACAGTATGTACGAATAGTACAAGAGCTATTCATACACACTGTGTGTACGAATAACTACAGCGCTAATCGTACATACAGTGTGTATGAATAGTACCCACGCTGTTCATACTCACATATAGGTACGTCCACATACAATTGATACTAACACCTGTTCACACCATTTGTTTACTCTCTTTACTGTGAATATTCTGTAGTTTGATTACGTTAAATATTTAATGATCATCGTCAAATGGATAGAGATTTTGTATGTTGGTATCACTCAGTAATTAGGCGTACTAACACAAGTCGAACAATTGTTTTAAAAATGTAAGGATAACCTCAAAGCTTTTGGCGCCACAAATCTTCAACTTACCGTCAAACTCCAGTTCAAATTTAATGATTTTTGTGAGTGTTGCACATCTGTTCTAAAACAAAATGGTAAAGTTATGCTCTTACAAATCTGTGGCCACAAATCGCAAAATCGTAACCCTGACAGGCATTAGAAATAAATCCAAAAGACTAAGTGGTAGGTACTTCTATGTATTAACATAAGAAACAAAACACAACAAAACAGTGCTAACAGACTTAGCTTTTATTTTTTGTACACAATTTTTTTTTTTCAAAAAAAAGAAAACTTTTAAACAAAATAATGGAACTATTTTTAAGGAGATTATAAGAACTAAAAAAAAGATAGTTTAATTAATTGAACATCTCCAAGTGTTCAGTATCATACTAAAGATTCTCGCTTTAACTGCAAACAGTACAAAACCAATCACCTTTCGGTTTTCGCCTGATATTGGCACATTTCTTATGACATCGAGACAGGTATGCGGCACAAGAAATATTTAGTACTGATTCCATCCGACATCTTGTTGCAAATTCTGCAGTGCAAGTTCTTGATTTTTTTATCAAAAAACGGAGTAGAGCGGAATAACCGCGTGCTGAAAAATCTTTTTGGACTAAAGATTCGAGTACACGCACTTCATTTTAAAAAAATTCTGATTTGATTAATTTTGGCTCAGTAGGTGAATGGCAATTACTTACTAGTGAATTCGTAAGATAAACCAATCTGTTCAAATATCAACTTCTTTTTTTCAAAATTTGATTTTAAACTATATTTTATTGGATTTATATTTGTTTTTTTCTTTTTATTTCTACAGCCGTTAACAAGTGACCTTTAGGGCGCCCACAACGAACCATTTTTGGAGGAAGTTTTGTTGCTTTTAATTCAAACAAAAGTTCTTCACTTAGGTTGGTTTTGGACTATGGAACAATATTTGTTTTTGGCAGAGTAGACTCATTCATTTTTTGTAAAGAGGAACTGGATAAAATATCACATTTTTCACTTTGATTCTACGAGATGGTATTACTAGTAGATTTCTGTGTATAGACTTTATTGTTAGCAAATATTTTTGCATTCGTTTATTGAACAGCATTCCCTACAGCCTTTATTTTGGGACATTAGTTTTTCTATTATTTCCTCATTTGTGTTTGTTGCAGTTTCTTGGTGTTCATTATCCTGATTATTTACATAGTGTACCACTGCATTTTTCATATTGGTATTTTCTATTACTCCTAGTTTTTTGCTGTTATTGTTTATTTCTTCCAATGAATTACTTTAATTTTCAATCAAGTCTTCATGGTAAATAATCTGTTCTTCCACATTTTTTTCACTATGTGAATTAACATTTACCTCTGTGAAATTCATTTCAATTTCTTCAATACCTGTATCAAGCATTTCGCTTTGTTAGTGACTGCATTTTCAGACGAACTTGCCACTTCACATATAAGTACCTCTTTATTCATTTCGTAATAATTAAGAAGCAATTTGACCTCTTCCTTTTTTTGCTTATATTTTTCAGTCCCGAACTCGGATATAACAACGGCAAGTCTAGAACATAATTTTGCTGCCTCTTCATATTTTTTTTAGCACTAACAGCTGTAGGTGTTGGAGATGCGAAATCCAATATTGTTACAATGTTTCCAAACAAAAGGAGTAATTAAGCTGTGATATTTCGTGAACTTTCTTTCTTTTTCAATTGGCAATGAAGATAACACCTTCTGGAAATCAGTGAAAAACTGCTCCAAAGAAGACAGTTTTTCAATACCTGCTTTCAGCATTTTGATTAATATTTTCTAATCTATTGGTTGTATTGTTTCCAAATGTTAGGCAATGACGACAATATGCAGAGACCCACTGCTCCTTTATGTCGTGCCAATTTTTCTCATAGTATGCGGTAACTTTGGGAAAATTGAAACTTATTAAATTCGAGTTCTATATACTCTTCGTCACTATGGCTGTATGTTATTCTCTGTATCAAATTTAGGCACTGTTCTCTGTGAGCAGACGAAATCTTCATTTTATCCACAGTAATTTCCCTTAGAAACGTCTTTAGGGTCCTTCATGTCCTTATCAGCGAAAGTAGTTTTTGTTGGCTCCCAATTTGCATTTTCTTTTTTGAATAACTGTGTCACTTCGCGTAAAGTAATTTTGTCCTCATCAACCAACAAAAAAGAACACATAATTTCACTATGTCCATTTCCATCAACAGTGAGTACAACGGCATTCTCAGGTTATTGAGTTTGTAGGTGCCATCGCACATTAATATTTCCGGAAAGTACTTGAACATTTGTTTCATTGTCTTACTTTGCTAGTAAATTGCTCTTAGAAGTCTTAGAATGAAAAAAAAAGCTACGGAGTTTTTGTCGCTATTTCGGAAAATTTTTACTGAGTCTCCTTCTTGAATAGTTTTTCGGGATAATTTCTTCGAGTTTGTTTGTGTTTAATGGTGCTTTCGCAATTCACTTTATATTTCTAATGTCTTTCAGGGCTAGGATTTTGTTTGTTTTTGATATAATATAGTTTTGTGCGTCTTTTGAATTGGCTTTCATTTGCATAACATGCACCATTTCTTTTTCTTCTTTGTCGCTAGGACCCAGTTTGCGATTTCTATCCATAAATTCGTAAGATGATTCTTCAAGTCTGTGATTATGCTGATTGTTAATTTCTGTAATGTATAACTGATGATTATCGTTAATACTTATTTTTATCCTAGCTGGATCTTGCAAAGTTTTGTGTCTTCTTTCGGCGCATGATTTACTCTTAAAATTTTTCCCTCCTTTGGCGCATGCATAATCAATTTTATAATATTGCACCTCATTAGTACAGTTAGAGGCCTTTTTCTTCCTCACTTCGGAAATTGTTATACTACTTCTTTTGTAAAAATATATATAATTCATGTTTTCGTAATTTTTTAAAGTTAGCGCCCACTCTTCGTAAGTTTCGAAAGTTTTTCCGACTGTTAACATACTGTAACTTTATTATCTTGTTATAGAAAAGATGTGCTGCACTTGTAAAAATTATTAAACTTGATCTGGAAAGTCTGGAGTTTGAAGGTACGTTGAGAACATTTGTGGCGGCAAAAGTTTGAAGTTATACTTATATCTGCAAAGCTATGATTGGAGTTGTGTTAGTACGCGTTATTACTGAATAGTACTGATATACATACACATACCTTTTATCTATTTGATGATGGTCACTAAATATTTAACGAAATCAAACTGAAAAATAGGCACAGTCAGAATCGTTTATGTGTGGGTGTACGAATAGCGCTGTAGGTATTCATACACACAGTGCGTATGAATAGCTCTTGTACTATTCGTACAAACTGTGTGTACGAATAGTCACTCCGTTTCTTTTATCCGTCTTTTTTCACTTTTTTTTCTCCTCTCTCCTTTTTTATTATCTTCTTTGTAGCTTCTCTCCTTTTTTTTTTTGGACACTTGTTCACTTATTTTTAGCGCATTTTATTCTCGCCTTTTTCTTTCCTTTGGTGTCTTTTTTTCGCCCTTTTTTACCGCTTTTCCTCGTTTTTACTGTTTCGTTTTGTTCTATCATTGGTGTCGCGGTATTTTCGTTTTGTCTCCTTTTTTTTATCGTTCTTGTATCACTTTTTGTCGCCTTTTTAATATTATGTTGCCCACATTTCTGTTGAGGTTTTTTGTGTCCATTTCTTGTAAGGTTTTTAACTTTTTTGACGTATTTTATTGTTGTATTTTTCTTATTTGGGTCATCATTTTTTTCGTTTCTTTGCCGCTTCGTTTTTATTGTCTTTTTTGTATTTTTTCCGCTTTTATTGGCTTTTTCTAGTTCTCCTTTTTTTTGACACTGGCCGCATTTCTCTCTCCTTGTTTTTATTGCTTTATTTTTTAATCGTCTTTTTCTTTTAAATATTCTTTGTGACTTTGTCGCCCTTTTTTTGACATTTTATTGCCTACTTTTCTGTTTTTTTTTTTTTTTTTACTTTGTTTTGTCGCCCATTAGTAATCCATTTCTTTTAATAATTGTTACAATATATGTGTAAATTAAATTATAACAAAGACACCTCAAACTCGTCAAAGTTAGTTTATGATATTTATGACAAGCAGTGAGTGGTAATGGACGAAATTTGAAAACCAACTTGATGTACGATACTTTGTAAATCACTGGGTCGTGAAATTTGCCGCTTCCATTTCTGAGTGTTCTAATTTATGCGATGTGTTTATTTGGTTGCATATACAACATTTTTTTCTTAGTGATCGATTGTTTGTATTTTTACAGGTACTAAAGCTGGCGGAGTTGGGCAGGCGTACCAACAGCAGTCCCAGCAGAGCCAGCAGGTGTACATGGCGTACGAGCCGGCGCTGCAGGCGAATTACTTGCCGAGCGCGGCCGGCGTGATGCAGAGAGGGCCGACCGGTCCCGTTCAGAACAACGTGGTCCCCGCCCTCCAACCCTCGTCGTCGTACTATTCAGGATCGACAGGTACTGCCAAAGCTTATAATTCTTCGTGGAATTTACACTAATGTGCTTTTTGGGTTAAGCTTTTATCTTCTCTTTGAGGAGTATTTGTACCTACACATAACTTATTGGTGTGGTGATCATTAAATGTTAGCTCTAGGACCAAAGTAACATGTGGACCAGTAAAATAATTTATACATTTTTTTGCAAGTACCACTAAATTTTACGTTACTATTATTTTTCTGTATAACTTGAATCGATTCGTATTTATTTGGATTTAAAAGTACACGACGTAAGCACCGACCTTTCCCTAATCAACGCTTCTTTGTTTAATTAACCTTGTATAAAGTCGCAATTTTATTTGATGTATTAGTTTTTTTCTTCTCTTAGCATTACTTTTGTAGTTAGATAAATGTAGACAGTTGTGAAATAAAAATCATTTTTGTAATTCTGTGTATTCTTTGGCATGCTTTACTGTGGTGTTGTGCATCGACGGATAATTTTAAGCGTTTTGCCATTTTCACGACAGCTAAAGCCAGTTACTGATGTAATTTATAGGTCAGACAGGGTATTTCCAACAACCTGGAAGTTCTACTATTCAGTCTGCTCAGTTACAGCAACACCAAGCTGGATATGGGCTTCAAGGAAACGTCTTTGGTACCCACAATCAATCACATACTAACGCCGGCTTGCAGAGTTTCAATTCGCATTTTTTATCCACCCCCATGCTGGCGGCGGCCATAAATGCGCAGCAGCAGCAGTTCCGCTCGGGCCTGCCTACGCAATACATGAAAGGCGTCAGCGGCCAGCAGATCGGTGATCAGACCGGCAGGTCGCAGCAGCTGAAGAGCCCCGGCAGCCAGGAGGTCCTCTCTTCGGTCTTCAATTCGGGTAAGAATCTGCACGCGACGGACCGCCCGTCCACCGCCCGAATTACTTATAGTTGTGTCCTTTTATAGTTCTGTATTTCTTAGGTTCTCAGATTTCCTCGCCCAAGCTGAGGCAGAACTGCAAACCCCCGCAGCCGCAGCCCAGCCCCACCGCTCAGCATAAGTACAACCTGTACCAGGGGGTGGGCAACCAGCAGTCGGGGAACGTAAGTGGGGGAAGAGGAAGGAGCCGACCGGAAATGAGGGTGTTGTCTGTGTTGCAGATGCAGAGGTATCCGCCTCCGATACAGAGACCTGTCAATTTTCAACAGAATTTAGGATCGGTGCAACAGAACAACAACGCCGTCAACCAGAAACATCGCGCTAACAATTCCAACAAGGCGCCGGCGCGACAGTACTATCAAAGTGAGTTTGGGGGGTTTTGGTTCGCAGGGTTTCATGTTTGTAACAGTACAACATCTCAAAAATTTGTTGAATTAAGTTGGTACCAAGTAAAACTCCTCTAGGGCTTGTTTTGAATGAAAACCATAATAATCCTAACCTCATTTTTTTTGACAGCAAAAATATGTTGTCAGTTGAGTGGTGTTTTAATTTTTGAATAGATAATAGCAATTTTGTCGATTTACAAAAAATGGGATAAAATATTTCAGATGTGGAGCAAAAACTGATCTCAGATTTTATATTCAGGTCTAGTGTGCATCAATTAATTGTTGTTAACAATTTCAAATACATGCTTAATACAAAATCCAATTTTTGGATCTTATGCAGAAGAGAAATAAAATTAGCCGTTAGAATTAGAAAAGCGCTGGTAACTGGAAAATCAAAAATTGAAAAACTGATTCATTGAAAACTGGACAGTTCAGAGCTCGAAAAACAAAAATATAAATCTGAAAATCAAAAAACTGCAAAATTAAAAAAAGTGAAAAATCGTATTAGTTTAAAATTGAAAAATCAGACAGTTGTGATCAGTCTTATCTCCAAATTTAATCACCCTGTATGTCTAATTGTTTACTTCGTTACCCTTGTGTTAAGTCAAGGTGACTAAAAATTGAAAAATCAAAAATCTGGTAACCGAAAAATCAAAGATTGAAAAACTGATTCATTGAAAAGTGAATACGTGAGAAATCGAAAAACTGTAAAAATATAAATCTGAAATATCAAAAAACTGCAAAACTATAAAACTGAAAAATCGCATAATTTTAAAATTCAAAAACAGTTGTAAAATAGAAAAAATTTAAATCGAAAAATTGAAACTTCAGTAAGTTATAAAATCAAGAAATTGGAAAATCTGATAACTGTAAAATCAAAAATTGGGGAATTAAAAAATTTTAAAATGGAAAAAAATCTAAAATTCAAATATCAAACACTTTAAAAATGAAAAATCGTGAAATTGGAAAATTGGATAATTGGAAGATTGGTTTAAAACTACCTTTAAAGACGGAAAATTGTAAAATAATTAAACTGAAAAATCAAAAACTTGAAAAATGAAAATTGAAATACTGAATAATTAAGAATCAAAAAAATTTCGATATTTAATTTTTCAATTAATTAATTTTTCGATTTTCAGGTCTCGAAATTGTTATTTTATTATGTTTCAATTCCTCGGTTCTTCTGTTTGGAATTTTTCGATTTTTCAACTTTTCGAATCAAAAAATGGAAAAATTACAAAATTGTCAAATTGAGAAACTTAAAAATCGAAAAAGTGCATTCTAAAATCGAAAGATTAAAAATTAAAGAAATTAGAAAATCTGGAAAATCGGAAAAAAAATAAAAATTGAAAAATCGGAGAACTGAAGAATGAAAGTTCGAAAATTATAATAACAATAAAGGAAATGATAAATAATACGAAAATCTGTAATAAAAATTGAGAAAATCAAAATAAAAATAGGGAAATTGGAAAGATAAAGAACTTCAAAAATTAATTATAATTAACAAAAAATAGAAAAAGTTAATCACAATTTTTCTAATTTTCGTTTTAAATATGTAATAATAATAATTTTTAAAATTCACTTCTATAGTTTTACGATTTTAGAATGTTTCATTTTCCGTTTATTCGATTTGAAAAATTTTTCACTTCTTCGATTTTTCCATTTTTCGAGCTTCAAATATTACAGTTTTTCAACTTTACAATTTTTGACGATTCTATTGTTTTTCGATTTTACAATTTTTAGGTTTTCCAGTTTTTCTACTCGTTTTTTCTTTTTTCCTATTTTTCGATTCATTAATTTTTTGACTTTAATGTTACCATTTTCGTTTCTGCAGTTTTTCGATTTTCCACTTTTCAATTTTTCAGTGCATCGGTTTTTTTTGGCAAATTTTTGGATAAAAAAAGATGAAAAATCAATATCGAGGAATTGACAAATCTAAGATTAAAAATTTGGAAAAATTGAGTAAACGAAAAAATATAAAAACGATAGAAACATTGGGAAAATAAAGGACATAAGAATGAAGATGAAAATGAAAAAGAGAATTTGTAGAATTATAAAATTGAAAAATTCAGTGATTGTAAAATCGAAAAGTCCAGAAATCGTTGAATCAAAAAATTGCAAAATCCCAAAATTGAAACTTCAAGTTGGAAAATCTGATAGCTAAAATCAAAATTTGAAAAATCTAAAAGTTTTGAAATGGAGAAACTTCTAAAATTGAAATATCAAACCCCTGAAAAATGAAAAATCGCGAAATTGGAAAATCGGATAATTGAAAGATTGGTTTAAAGTTAATTACACAGAATTTTCCTCGCCGCTGAAGTACAACTGATTCATTAAAAAGTGGACAATTGAGAACTCGAAAAACTGTAAAAACTAAAAATGTAATTATGAAATATGAAACAACTACAAAATTACAAAACTGAAAAATCGAAAAAGTACAAAATTATAAAGCTCGAATAAAAAATTAGGAAAATTGAAAATAGAAATTTTGAAATAGTTAGATCAAAAAATTATAAAATCGGAATGAAAATTGGATACCTTTTGGAAAATTGTAAAATAATTAAACTGATAAATAAAAAATTTTAAAAATTAAAATTGAAATTATGAAATTGAAAAATTCCATGACTGTAAAATCTTGATTAAAATTAGCCACGCCCACCTACCCTCTATTTTCTTAGAGGGTACGTCATTTGCAAAAATCAGCCTTACCTTAGCAAGAACTAACCCCGCCCACTCGCCCTCTTTTTTTAGAGGATACGTCATTTGCCAGTCAGGCTTATCTTAGCAAGGACTAGCCCCGCCCACCCGCCCTTAATTTTTTTGGAAGGTATGCCATTTGCCAAAACCACTCTTTTCTTAGCAAAAACTAATAAAAATTGAAAAAGTGCAAAATTATGAAACTCAAAAATCAAAAATTTGGAAAATTAGAAATCGAAATTTTGAAATGTTAAAGGTACAAAAGTTATAAAATCGAAACAATGAAATTTGGATACTTGTAAAGACGGAAAATTGTAAAATAATTAAACTGAAAAATGAAAATTTTTTAACAATTAAAAGTAAAAAAAAATTCGATATTTGATTTTTCAATTTTTCGATCTTCCAATGTCACAGTTTTGGGCTTTAAAATTTTGACAATAATTTTTTTCGATTTTCAAATCTCGAAATTTTTAGTTTTTTAATGTTTTATTTCTTCGGTTCTTCGTTTTACAATTTTTCGATTTTCCACTTCTCCGATTCAGTTTTTCAATTTTTTGCGATTTTTTGGTTTTTCGACTTTCAATTTTTCGATTTTTCAACTTTTCGAATAAAAAAAAATGGAAAAATTACAAAATTGTAAAACTGAGAAACCACAAATGTAAAAACGAAACAGTAAAAAACGAAAACTTTGAAAAATTGAAGAAACCAAAAATTCCAAAATCGAAATACATATGTATTTTAAAATCGAAGTATTAAAAATTAAAGAAATCGGAAAACCGGATAACTGGAAAACCAAAAATTAAAAAATTTAAAAATTAAAAACCGCAGGAAATATAAAGGAAAATAATACGAAAAACTGTAATAAAAATCGAGAAAATAAAAATAAAAATCTGGAAAATGGAAAAATCATAAACTTCAAAAATGAAGGAAACAAAAAATAGAAAAATTTATTTACAATTTCTCTAGTTTTCGTTTTAAATATGCAATATGTAATAATAATTTTTAAAATTCACTTCTTTAGTTTTCCGTTTGTTGGATTTTAAAGCTTTTTCACTTGTTCGATTTTTCAATTTTTCGATTTGTAATTTTTCAGTTTGTCGATACTTAATTTTTCCATTTTTCGAACTTCAAATGTTATAGTTTTTCCAATTTTTTGACGAATCTATTGTTTTTCGATTTTACAATTTTTAGGTTTTTCAATTTTTCGACTCGTTTTTTCTTTCCAATTTTTCGATTTATTAATTTTCTCGATTTTAAGTTCAATTTTTTGTTTTTCAATGTTACCATTTTTCGTTCCTTCAGTTTTTTGATTTGTAGTTTTTCAATTTTCCTCAATATCGAGGAATTGAAAAATCAAAGATTGAAATTTTTGAAAAATTGAGTAAACGAAAAAATATAAAAGCGATAGAAACATTGAAAAAATAAAGGACAAAAAAATTGTGATATAGAGAATTTGTAAAATTATAAAATTGAAAAAAAATCGAAAGGTCAAGAAATCGTTGAATCAAAAAATTGCAAAATCCTAAAATTGAAACTTCATTTAGTTGAAAAATTGTATAATTTTAACATTGAAAAATCAAAAAATTATAAGTCAAAAATCAAAAATTTGAAATATTGAAAGTCGAAATTTTGGATTATTTAAGATCAAAAAATTATAAAATCCAAACAAAAATTGTGAAATAATTAAACAGAAAAATAAAAAAATTGAAAATATGTAAAAATGATAAAATTGAAAAATTCATGATTATACAATCGAAAAATTATTATTACAATGTAAACATGAAAACTGCAAAACTATAGAATTGAAAAATCGAAAATCTGGTAATTGAAAATCAAAAATTGAAAAACTGATTCATTGAAAAGTGGACAATTGAGAACTCGAAAAGCTGTAAAAATATAAATCTGGAGTATCGAAAAATTGCAAAATTGAAAATCGAAATTTTTAAATATTTAAGATCAAAAAATTATAAAATGGGAACAATGAAATTTGGATACCTTTAAAGACGGAACATTGTAAAATAAACTGAAAAATCAAAAACTTGAAAATGAAAATTGAAATTTTGAACAATTAAAAATCAAAAAATTTTCGACATTTAATTTTTCAATTTTTCGATTTCACAATTTTTGGATTTTACAATTTTTCAATTCATTAATTTTCTCGATTTTGAAGTCTCGGAATTTTAAGTTTTTTAATGTTTCAATTCTTCGGTTCTTCTATTTAGAATTTTTCGATTTTCCACTTTTCCGATTCTATTTTTCAATATTTTCCGATTTTTTGGTTTTTCGACTTTTAATTTTTCGATTTGTCAACTTTTCGAATCAAGAAAATAAAAAAATTACAAAATTGTCAATTTGAAAAACTGCAAATGTAAAAACGGAAAAGCATAAAACGAAAACGAACCAAAAATTTAAAAACTGAAAGGTGAAAAATTGAAAAACTTAAAAATCGAAAAGTGCAAAATCGAAATACATATGCATTTTAAAATCGAAAGATTAAAAATTAAAGAAATCGGAAAATGTGGAAAAATTAGAAAACTCAAAACAAAAATTATAAAATCGAAATGAAAATTGGATACCTTTAGGAAAATTGTAAAATAATTGAAGTGAAAATCAAAAATTGGAAAAATGACAATTGAAATTTTGAACAATAAAAATCAAAAAAATTGAAAATTTGTCAAATTATAAAATTGAAAAACTGATTCATTGAAAAGTGGACAATTAAAAACTCGAAGTATAAATCTGAAAAATCGTATAATTTTAAAATTGAAAAATCGAGGAAGTGCAAAATTATGAAACTCAAAAATTGAAAGTCGAAATTTTGAAATATTGGAGATCAAAAATTATAAAATCAAAACAATGAAATTTGGATACCTTTTGGAAAATTGTAAAATAATTAAACTAAAAAATTTAAAATTGAAAATTTGTAAAATTATGAACTTCAAAAATTCGATGATTGTAAAATCGAAAAATTGTTAAAATGTAAAAATGAAAATTGCAAAATTATAAAATCCAAAAATCGAATAAACGTTTAATCGAAAAATTGCAAAATCCTGAAAGTGAAATTTCATTAAGAAGAAATTGGAAAACCTGAAAACTGTAAAATCAAAAATTGAAAAACTGATTTATTGAAAAGTGGATAATTGAGAACTCGAAAAACTAAAAATATAAATCTGAAATATCAAATGACTGCAAAATTATGAAATTAAAAATCAAAAATTGAAAAATTGAAAATCGAAATTTTGAAATATTAAAGATCAAAAAATTATAAAGTCGAAACAATAATAAAATTTGGATACATTTAGGAAAATGGTAATTAAACTGAAAAATGAACATTGAAATTTTGAATTAAAAATCAAAAAATTGAAAATTTGTAGAATTATAAAATTGAAAAATTCAAGGATTGTAAAATCTAAAAATTATTAAAATGAAAATTGGAAAATCTGATAATTCGATTTCACAATTTTTGGGTTTTACAATTTTTTAATCTCATTTTTTCGTTTCTTTGGTTCTTCTATTTAGAATTTTTCGATTTTCCACTTTTCTGATTGTGTTTGTGTGTCAATTTTCCCCGATTTTTTGGTTTTTCGACTATTGATTTTTCGATTTTTCAACGTTTCGAATCAAAAAATGGAAAAATTACAAAATTGTCAAATTGGGAAACCACAAATGTAAAAACGAAAACGAACCAAAATTCAAAAATCGAAAGGATAAAAATTGAGAAACTTAAAAATCGAAGAAGTGCAAAATCGAAATACATTTGCATTTTAAAATCGAAAGATTAAAAATTAAAGAAATCGGAAAATCTGGAAAACCAAAAATTAGAAAATTAAAAATTGAAAAATCGGGAAACTGAAGAGTGAAAGATCGAAAATTATAATAATAATAAAGGAAATGATAAATAATACGAAAAACTAATAAAAATTGAGAAAATAAAAATTAAAAATAGGGAAAATGAAAAAATAAAGAAGTTCAAAAATTAAGGAAACAAAAAATAGAAAAATTTAATACATTTTACAATTTTTCGATTCATTAATTTTTTCGATTTTAAGTTCCTCAATTTTTCGTTTCTTCAGTTTTTTGATTTGCAGTTTTTGGTTTTTTTTTAGTTTTTGTCAAATTTTTTATTAAAAAAAGATCAAAAATCAACATCAAGGAATTGAAAAATCAAAGATTGAAAATATGGAAAAATTGAGTAAACGAAAAAATATAAAAACGATAGAAACATTAAAAAAATAAAGGACAAAAAAATTATGATATTAAATCCAGATTATGAAAATGAAAAAGAAAATTTGTAAAATTATAAAATTGAAAAGTTCAGTGATTGTAAAATCGAAAAGTCAAGAAATCGTTGAATCAAAAAATTGCAAAATTTTACAACTGTAAAATCAAAATTTGAAAACTAAAAATTCTAAAATTGGAATATCAAACACTTGAAAAATAAAAAATCGTGAAATTGAAAAATCGGATAATTGAAAGATTGGTTTAAAGTTAATTACACAGAATTTCCCTCGCCGCTGAAGTACAATACAACTGAATCATTTAAATGTGAACAATTGAGAACTCAAAAAACTAAAAACTAACAATATAAATCTGAAATGTCAAAAAACTGCAAAATTATAAAACTGAAAAATCGTATAATGTTAAAATTGAAAAATCTGAAAAGTGCAAAGTTATAAAACTCGAATCAAAAATTTGGAAGATTGAAAATAGAAATTGGAAATATTTAAGATCAAAAAATTATAAAATCGAAATAAAATTGGATATCTTTAGGAAAATTGTAAAATAATTAAACTGAAAAATCAAAAACTTGAAAAATGAAAATTTATAAAATTAGAAAATTGAAAAATTCGACGATTGCAAAAACGAAAAATTAGTAATTGGTTACCCAACAAATTTTTGAGGTTAGTAGGGAACGTCAAGTCTTAGTTGGCCATTTAAAATGTGACCTGACTAACGATGTTTTTGTTTTTCAGATAACTCGATTTCGTCTCAGAACGAAAAAATCGACGACGGTAAACTAAACGACAGTTCTTTGACCAACAGCAATTCCAACAGTGTTAATTCATCCGTTGCCAACAAAGCCGTGATCGGAACGACCCCCGTGACCACGGTGAACTCGTCATCCGAAATTTCGAAGGACGCTATTACAATAGAAGAAACTACAACTTTAAAGGACTAAGTGTTGTCTTTGTTTTAAGCCCTAAAAGAAATTTTCTATCGTTTAATGTGTTAACTATTTTCCAAATTTTGTACATTACTAATGAGAGGAGTCGCAAAACTGTATTTATTTTTCCATTATATTAAGTATTGAAATTTTGTATTGTATTACTAATTAGTAATTATTTATTTCTTCGTGGTTCTGGGACTTTGTGACCGGTTTTTCCATAACGCTCTTATACACCGATTTTAGGACTGCTAGTTAGTGGTTAACAAAGTTAAAGTTCTGCTTTGCCTGAAATATTACTAGAACGTTTTTTGATAATCGTATATCCTACATTTACATGTACCGAGGCGATGTTATGAGAACATAATTCAGTATATTCTTGCAAGACCTTGTAGTTTTTTTTACTGTGCTCTGTAAAAATTGTTATTACTGTGCGCGTTGTTACAAACCTGTCGATTGTCACTTCTTAAACAACCGCCCACAGTAAAGTCCACGTTTGAGCTCTTTGCCGTGCCGTTGTTCACACAGAAATGGCGGCGAGTCTCAAATTTCGATGAGTGCCCCCCGACCGGGGCGCTTTCTCATTTCTCTCGAGATTGTGGAGCCGTTTTCACAGTGTAGAGCTTGCCTATACATTAACTACCTGTGCGTAACTTATCTTGCGCAACACAATCTCATTTTAAGTAAGTTAGCTCATTTAGCAGTGTTAGTAAATTTGTAGACAGCATGGAATGTATTGTGTAAATTATTCAAGTGAGTGAAAAAACTGCACTAATGTTTTATCACACAAACTCCAAGCTTATTAAACCTCAGTGTAAACGGAAATTCGACTGAAAAGACTGCATTTCGGAAGTTCATGGTGAAGTGTGTGACCTAAAAGACTTTGGATTCGCTCTTTTGTTTCTCTACCGGCATCTGCAAATTACTCAGAATTATTGACATGAAACTGTATATCTTTGGTTAAATATTTAATTCTATGAATATTAATAATTCGTAAAATAAATGGTTTAAATATAAACGGCTATTGTTTTCTTCGATAAAAATGACGTGTCAAACCCCATTTCGGAACGCGGATGATACGCCACTGCTCAGCTCGAATTAAAATGACATTCAGACACGATTTTTTTCGCGGACGTTATCTCTGACGTTTCAGATCATCGTAAATTAAATTATCCGAATCATTATTGTCTATAATTGGTAAAAATGTGAAACCTTGACGGTAATAATTACATCAATTGCATCCGTGATGTTACGCCACTGGAAAAATGGCGAGTCTGCGCAGTTGTTTGATTGTGAAAACCTAACCTCACTCTTTTGAAATTTTTTTTGGAAAAGTTACAAAATTGTGCAACTTCGTGACAATGTCGTCGTGTGGGTGCGAAAAAACAACAAAAATTAACCAAACCATCGGATTTATAGGGGGCGGAAACATGGCGAAGGCGATTTGTGAAGGCATGGTAAGGAAAGGTACCCCGAATCCACCCATCGTGGTCTGGGAGCCCTAGCACGTTCGCTATTTTAGGGCTGGTCACCTACAACCAACTGTACATATCTGGGCCCCATGAAGAAACTTTGCGCTATTGGAGCACTTTGGGGGCAAAAACGACAACAAAAAACGGGGTTCTTGTCTCTGAAGCGGACATAATTTTCCTAGCTATGAAGCCCCACATTCTCCCGATAGCTGTGGCTAATATTTATGAAACTTTACCGCAACCTGTGAAAGGGAAATTATTTGTGTCAATACTAGCAGGGATTACACTGGAAGCTTTAGAAAATGTATGTACAATATCCACTGATCCTGTTTTACAATGGTATTTTTAGTGTTTGGCCACCCTTGAAGGTTCCCGCGTTATTCGCGTCATGCCCAACACCCCCATGATGGTAGGTCAAGGCTGCACAGTCTTCTGTCCGGGACAAAGAGCCAGCGACGGGGACGTAGACGTCGTTAGAACCCTCCTAGAGACCGCGGGTGTGTGCAGACAAGTCCCGGAATCCCTCATCAACGCAGTGGGGGCTCTTGCGGGCAGCGGACCCGCTTTTGTAAGTCCACTTCAAGTACCACTCCCTTATTAAACCCTTCATTTACAGGTGTACTTAGTTATTGAAGCCCTTTCAGACGGCGGCGTAAAAATGGGAATCCCGAGGGAAATGGCGACCCACTTCGCCGCCCAGACTGTCCTGGGGGCGGCAAAAATGGTCCTAGAATCGGGAAAGCACACCGGCACTCTGAAGGACGAGGTTTGCTCCCCTGGGGGCACCACCATCACGGGAATACACGCCCTGGAAAAAGGGGGCGTGAGGGGGGCCATTATGGACGCGGTGGAAGTAGCGGCCAAGAAGGCGTTGGAACTGGGGCCCAAAAAGCCCGCCTAATCTGGGTTGGTTTTTAGTTAGAAAAGGGTGTTGGTTATCATTTCCATCATAGCCTCAAATAGGGAACTAAGAAATTTATCGCCCACTAGAATATACGTGGAATTGACGGATTAGTTATGGGTGTCCACTTCTCACATAGATCTGATTTTACGTCAAATTTCTTATCAAAGTTAGCATAAATACTCAACACAAGATGCCCATTTTCCAATTTTTGGTAGTTTGAAGCCGTCTTCCAAGAAAAAAGTTAATTTTGTGCGTAATAGTCAAAATGGTCGTACTAGATAGGGCGCCATTTTGTTTATCTTCTAAGTATTAAATGAACCTAGTGATTTGTTCTCTTTGGAAATTTTTTCTCTCTATTTATTATTTTTATTTTTGTATCTCATAATGACAAGCAATTTTAATTTTTAACTGTATTTTTGTTTAACTTTTTTGTTACTGTTTTATTTTCATCATTATTATCAATTAATTAAGAATGAGTTTGTAGAAGGCACCTGTTAAAATAAACTGTATCACTTGAAGTTTGAAATGTATTAGTTTGCTCCCATAATCTACGCCACTGGCGACTAAATTCCGATGGTTGCCTGCAAGGACGTCGACGTCGGGACGACTGGACGTTTAGCATGGTCAAACTAACCTCACTTAGAGCAACATTAACGGGTTATTGCTAATTATTGTGTAACAATAGTTAATAGTTAAAATGACTCTGCTCAACGTTATTGTAAAAATTTCGAGGAATGGTTTAACGTGAGTATTTGTGTTTGTCATTTTCTTAGTTAGGTTTACATTTCAACCGGTTTTTGTTTTAATTTCGTCGAAGTGTGGAAATGTGTGTAATTGTTGCAGTTTATTTTACACACCCCAAAAAAAAACTAACTGGATACAGTCTGATTTTGTATAATTCTTTAATGTCAAACAGTTATTGTGTACATATATTTTTAATATCACGTAGATCGTTAAACGCTAACCAAACTTTGTCTAATCATCCCCACCAATAATCAAAATATATTTATTTATCCCCTCCAAAAATTGATGACGTCAGCTTAAAATTTTGCCGAATAGATCCTATCTAAAGTGTCCAAAATATAATGAGTTTATTATTTACTACTTGTGATTTATCACTGCATTAATGTTTTTTAGATTTGCTTATACAGGTGTCTGAAAAAATTAATGACTAAGTCAGTTTATTTTATTGATTAAATCAAGATTTGCAAACTGAATACTTTGAAATGTTGATTTTTCATTTGATATTCGAATTTTTGAATTTTTTCCACTTCGAAATTTTTAGATTTTCCAATTTTGTAATTTTATAAATTTGCAATTTTTTATTTTAAATTTAAATTTTCATGTTTCAAGTTTTTGATTTTTCAGTTTAATTATGTTACAATTTTCCGTCTTTGAAGGTTTCCAAATTTCATTGTTTCGATTTTAAAATTTTTTGATTTTTAATATTTCAAAATTTCGATTTCCAACTTTCCAAATTTTTGACATTTGAGTTTCATAATTTTGCACTTTTTCAATTTTTTTAGTTCATGCTAAGATAAGAGTGGTTTTGGCAAATGGCATACCCTCTAAGAAAATAAAGGGTGGGTGGGCGGGGCTCGTTCTTACTAAGATAAGCTTGAATTTGGCAAATGGCGTACCCTAAAAAAAAATAGAGGGCGGGTGGGCGGGGTTAGTTTTAAACCAAGCTTTCAATTATCCGATTTTCCAATTTCACGATTTTCCATTTTTAAAGTGTTTGATATTTGAATTTTAGAATTTTTCCCTTTTTAAAATTTCTCGATTTTCCAATTTTTTATTTTACAGTTATCAGATTTTCCAACTTCTTTATTTTTCAGTTTAATGAAGTTTCAATTTTACGATTTTATAATTTTGCAATTTTCATTTTTACATTTTAATAATTTTTCGATTTTACAATCATCAAATTTTCCGATTTCATAATTTCACGATTTTTCATTTTTCAAGGGTTTGATATTTGAATGTTAGAATTTTTTCAATTTCAAAATTTTTAGATTTTCCAATTTTTGATTTTTCAACTTAATGAAGTTTTAATTTTACTACTTTGTAAAATGCAATTTTCGTTTTTACATTTTATTAATTTTAGAATTTTACAATCAAATTTTCTAATTTCATAATTTTATAAATTTTCAATATTTTTTTATTTTTAATTTAAATTTTATTTTCAAATTTTTGGTTGTTCGGTTTAATTTTTTTACAGTTTTCCGTCTTTCAAGGTGTCCAAATTTCATTGTTTCGATTTTATAATTTTTTGATTTTTAATATTTCCAAAATTTCGATTTCCAACTTTCCAAATTTTTGACATTTGAGTTTCATAATTTTGCAATTTTGCAATTTTTATTAGTTCTTGCTCATATAAGAATGGTTTTGGCAGATGGCATACCCTCTAAGAAAATAAAGGGTGGGTGGGCGGGGCTAGTTCTTACTAAGATAAGCTTGAATTTGGCAAATGGCGTACCCTAAAAAAAATAGAGGGCGGATGGGCGGGGTTAGTTTTAAACCAAGCTTTCAATTATCCGATTTTCCAATTTCACGATTTTCCATTTTTAAAGTGTTTGATATTTGAATTTTAGAATTTTTCCCTTTTTAAAATTTCTCGATTTTCCAATTTTTTATTTTACAGTTATCAGATTTTCCAACTTCTTTATTTTTCAGTTTAATGAAGTTTCAATTTTACGATTTTATAATTTTGCAATTTTCATTTTTACATTTTAATAATTTTTCGATTTTACAATCATCAAATTTTCCGATTTCATAATTTCACGATTTTTTATTTTTCAAGGGTTTGATATTTGAATGTTTGAATTTTTTCCATTTCAAAATTTTTAGATTTTCCAATTTTTGATTTTTCAACTTAATGAAGTTTTAATTTTACTATTTTGTAAAATGCAATTTTCGTTTTTACATTTTAATGATTTTAGAATTTTACAATCAAATTTTCTAATTTCATAATTTTATAAATTTTCAATATTTTTTTATTTTTAATTTAAATTTTATTTTCAAATTTTTGGTTGTTCGGTTTAATTATTTTACAGTTTTCCGTCTTTCAAGGTGTCCAAATTTCATTGTTTCGATTTTATAATTTTTTGATTTTTAATATTTCCAAAATTTCGATTTCCAACTTTCCAAATTTTTTACATTTGAGTTTCATAATTTTGGACTTTTTCAATTATTATTAGTTCTTGCTAAGATAAGAGTGGTTTTGGCAAATTACATACCCTCTAAGAAAATAAAGGGTGGGTGGGCGGGGTTTTAGTTCTTACCAAGATAAGCTGAATTTGGCAAATGGCGTACCCTTAAAAAAATAGAGGGCGAGTGGGCGGGGTTAGTTTTAAACCAAGCTTTCAATTATCCGATTTCCAATTTCATGATTTTCCATTTTTAAAGTGTTTGATATTTGAATTTTAGAATTTTTTCCATTTTAAAATTTTTCGATTTTCCAATTTTTGATTTTACAGTTATCAGATTTTCCAACTTCTTTATTTTTCAGTTTAATGAAGTTTCAATTTTACGATTTTATAATTTTGCAATTTTCATTTTTACATTTTAATAGTTTTTTGATTTTACGATCATCAAATTTTCCAATTTCATAATTTTATAAATTTTCAATTTTTTTATTTTTAATTTGTTTTCATTTTTCAAGTTTTTGATTTTTCAGATTAATTATTTTACAATTTTCCGTCTTTAAAAGTGTCCAAATTTCATTGTTTCGCTTTTATAATTTTTTTGATTTTTAATATTTCAAAATTTCGATTTCCAACTTTCCAAATTTTTGATTTTTGAGTTTCATAATTTTGGACTTTTTCAATTTTTATTAGTTCTTGCTAAAATAAGAGTAATTTTGGCAGATGGCATACCCTCTAAGAAAATAATGGGTGGGTGGGCGGGGTTAGTTCTTACCAAGATAAGCTTGAATTTGGCAAATAGCATACCCTAAAAAAATTGAGGGTGGGTGGGGTTAGTTTTAAACCAATCTTTCAATTATCCGATTTTCCAATTTCACGATTTTCCATTTTTAAAGTGTTTGATATTTGAATTTTAGAATTTTTTCCATTTTAAAATTTTTCGATTTTCCCATTTTTGATTTTACAGTAATCAGATTTTCCAATTTCTTGATTTTTCAACTTAATGAAGTTTCAATTTTACGATTTTATAATTTTGCAATTTTCATTATTACATTTTAATAAATTTTCGATTCTACAATCATCAAATCTTCTAATTTTATAAATTTACAATTTTTTTATTTTTAATTTCAATTTTCATTTTTCAAGTTTTTGATTGTTCGGTTTAATTATTTTACAATTTTCCGTCTTTCAAGGTGTCCAAATTTCATTGTTTCGATTTTATAATTTTTTGATTTTTAATATTTCCAAAATTTCGATTTCCAACTTTCCAAATTTTTGATTTTTGAGTTTCATAATTTTGGACTTTTTCAATTTTTATTAGTTCTTGCTAAGATAAGAGTGGTTTTGGCAAATTACATACCCTCTAAAAAAATAAAGGGTGGGTGGGCGGGGTTTTAGTTCTTACCAAGATAAGCTGAATTTGGCAAATGGCGTACCCTAAAAAAAATAGAGGGAGAGTGGGCGGGGTTAGTTTTAAACCAAGCTTTCAATGATCCGATTTTCCAATTTCACGATTTTCCATTTTTAAATTGTTTGATATTTGAATTTTAGAATTTTTCCCTTTTTAAAATTTCTCGATTTTCCAATTTTTGATTTTACAGTTATCAGATTTTCCAACTTCTTTATTTTTCAGTTTAATGAAGTTTCAATTTTACGATTTTATAATTTTGCAATTTTCATTTTTATATTTTAATAATTTTTCGATTTTACAATCATCAAATTTTCCGATTTCATAATTTCACGATTTTTCATTTTTCAAGGGTTTGATATTTGATTGAATGTTGGAATTTTTTCCATTTCAAAATTTTTAGATTTTCCAATTTTTCATTTTTCAACTTAATGCAGTTTTAATTTTACTATTTTGTAAAATGCAATTTTCGTTTTTACATTTTAATAATTTTAGAATTTTACAATCAAATTTTCTAACTTCATAATTTTATGAATTTTCAATTTTTTATTTTTAATTTCAATCTTCATTTTTCAAGTTTTTGATTTTTCAGTTTAATTATTTTACAGTTTTCCGTCTTTAAAGGTATGCATATTTAATTGTTTCGATTTCATAATTTTTTGATCTTTAATATTTCAAAATTTCGATTGCCAACTTTCGAATTTTTGACATTTGAGTTTCATAATTTTGCACTTTTTCAATTTTTATTAGTTCTGGCTAAGATAAGAGTGATTTTGGCAAATAATGTACTTTCTAAGAAAAGGAAGGGTGGGTGGGCGGGGCTAATACCTGCTAAGTTAAGACTGATATTGCCTAATGATCCATTCTCTAAGAGAATAGAGGGTAGAGGGTATATCACTTGGCAAAATCAGTTATCTTTTGACAAATATTGGCTCCGCCCACCCACCCTTTTGTTTTGGTATGGGGGGGGGGCTAGTTCTTGCTAAATTAAACCTGAATTTGGCAAATGACGTACCCTCTAAGAAAATAGATGGCTGGTGGGCGGGGCTAGTTCTTCTAAGATAAGCCTGAATTTGGCAAATGGCGTACCCTTAAAAAATAGAGGGCGGGTGGGCGGGTTAGTTTTAAACCAAGCTTTCAATTATCCGATTTTCCAATTTCACGATTTTCCATTTTTCAAGTGTTTGATATTT